GAACCTAATGTGAGTTCATTGCTGTTCAGGGTAGGCACTGATTTGAGTTGTGGAGAATTTAACTGGCTGTTTCTCCAACCTTTAAGAACAAGGTTCTCTGAGCCAATGAGGAGCTGCCATTCTGTTTCCATAGCAATAAAAGAAACAAACCTTCACTGCTATCTTAAGGATAAACCTCTCATCAGGCCCAGTCAAAAAGTCTTTAAATGGAGGGTTGATTTTCTCCTGTAGTTTGGCTTTCACCCAATACCAAGAGACAAGTAGATTCTCTAGAAGTTCCTATTTGTGCCAGCTCAGCCTTTTTAAGAATCTCAACTGGATTCACTGAAGGTCTTCACTACATATACTGTGAGTTTCTGCTTTAGTGTCTTAACAGTTTTAAGTCTCGTTAAGACACTTGACTTTGAGAAGAAATCACACAAGAAAAACACATCTTTGAACTGTGTAAGGTAAGCTTTTTTGTTAAAGATTTATAAAATGTTTCCTTCTGATTACTTACACTAACCAGAGACCCTCTCTGGCAGGCTCTGTGGGCACACAAATAGTGAGTCTCGTGTAAATTATCAGGGAGAAATACAGAAAAGGAAGACAAAGTAGGAAAAATCATCCTTACACACACACACACACACACACACACACACACACACAGATTACCCCCGCCTCCCGCCCAAGAAAAGACTTCTCAATGGTTCAGTGAGAGGATACTGAAGTCAAGGGTTGAAATTTAACCGGTAAGCCCAGTTATTCAAATATTGTACCTCTATGCCCCTCTGTTAGTGGTCATTGCCCAAGACCTCCAATTGTGCTCTTTGTCACCTTGTCCTAATTACTCCCCTAGCACCTCAGACCACCTCAGGATTAGTGATTTCCAAGATCCCATTTTGTGGATATGGAAACTAAGACTCAGAAAAGTTAAGTTTTTGTACAGTCCTACTCCTAAGCAGAAGAGCCTCCATCAAAGTCAGACCCACCTGATTTCAAAGCCCAAGCAAAATATTAGTTAAGAATGTCCTGGGGGGAGGGGAATCATAATTCTAACATTTTTGGCCAAAATTCATTTTATAATATGTTTTCTTCTAACATTTGTCTTATAGATGCATACTTTCATATAATTGTGTCCAATGCATTCACATCGTTTTATATCTTTTATAAGACTTTATGTTTCTACACGTTGTGTTTTTTGTTTCTTTCTATGCTGGGGATCTTCTATATACTAGGCAAGTGCTCTACCACTGATACACCCCCAGTCCTCTCACAGATTTTAAATAATTATTTAAATCTTCGTGACTGGCAAAGTGCCAGTGGCTCACATCTGTAATCCTAGCTACTTAGGAGACTGACAGCTGTGGATCACAGTTCAAACCCAGCCTGGGCAAGAAAGCCTATGAGACTCTTATCTCCAATGAACAACCAAAAAGCTGAACATAGAGCTGTGGTTCAAGTAGTAGAATGTTAGCCTTGAGCAAATACTCAAGGACAGAATCAGAGTTCAAGCCAATGACCAGAACAGAAAGAATATCTTTGTAAATGATCATTTAAAATTGGTAGGACAAAGGGTGAACTAATTCAGCACTGATACTCACTAGATACTATATTGGAAATGAATTATGCAACTGGGGGAAAGAAGGGGATTGAGAGGGGAAAAACTGGGAGAAAATGAAGGGAGGAGGTGACACTGTTCAAAAATAGATCTACTCATTACCTGATTTATGTAACGGTAACCCCTCTGTACATCACCTTGACAATAAAAGTACGTAAAATCCACTGAGTGATACATGCATTTTACCTACATATTCTGATTTGGAACTCCAGTGCTATTGTCTAATATATTGTAATGACAGTTGCAATGTATTTTGACAGTTTTATCTGGGAATAATCTTTTCTCTGTGTTGAGTTAGTTCCTATGATTACAATCACCCAGGGTAGTAGTCAAGCAGCAAACAGTTATCAAACAACCCTTCAAGACAAATTGGACCTGTCAGGCTCAGTGTAGGACACAGAGAAGGTCAGGGTAGAGGCCTGGCCTTCAAGAACTATATAGTCCTGTTGGATAAGCAAGGCGCATCATAAAAAGTACAGTTGCTAGGAGCAGGCCTTCTATGACCTCTCACTTCCTGTCCCAAGAATATACACCTTCAGGGTCAGGGTTGGTGCCTTTCCTCTTTGAGGCCAAGCAGAAATGATGTTTTTTTTCTAACTGAACTCCTTCTAGATTTCTCACCTAGAACCCAGGCCCTTGTGACCTCACCTTCTCACCTGGTTGGCGCAGTCCCTCTGCTTCCCTGACTGTTCCTCCTTGACTCTGATGTGTGACATTTCTGACAGGGTCGCCAAGCACAGCAGAGCAAGGACAGTTATATATGGGTGGCCTTGTCACCTGATTTTTGGCTTTGGCAGTTACCCAGTCTCTTGGCCTCCTTTCTAGCCATGACCTTTATTCTACATGGCATTTTGGTCCCAGGTGTCTGATCCAGTCTGTCCCTACCCCCATCTCCACCTGCATACCCTTCCTTTCTCTCAAGGTCAGGTCTTCTGCCTTAGCACCACAGCTCACTCAGCAATCAGTTGACAGTCCTGCTGACCGTAAGCTTACCAAGGAACAAGGTATTTCTCCGGTGTCCATCTGAAGTGTAGCCAGTACTCACAGTGTGAGCTTGTATTTGTGCGGATGTGTCAGCATTTACAAGTATACAAGTTATCACCACAGATCCTCAGAGCACAGAGGTCTCATCTGGTCAGGAAAGTTAGTCTCCAGGTCCTGCTTGTCTCTAAGTCCTTAGACCACATGCCTAGTTCTTTAGCCATGGGTCATGTAATAGACAAAAAGGAATATTATTTCATTTTTTAGCTGACTCTTAAATGTATCCCAGTGTAATATTGAAGCCAGTCATTAAGAAGTTAAAATTAAGTCTGCTATCATTGTAATACTTCCATTGGGTATTGATTTTCTCATAACACATTTTGATGTTCATGTTTATTGTTTATGAAATATTCCACCTATATCACTTAAAAATCAAATGATGTTAAAAATAAGGAAACATCAGCTTGTGCCTCACCCTCCATACATGTAGTTTCTGACTTAAACTCATGTTTCATGCTTTTTGGACTTTTAATTTTGGTTTGAGGGGGGATTGGGTTTGTTTTGGGTCAGTGCTGGGGATAGAACACATCACCACACATGCTAAGCAAGTGCTGTCCCCATTTGTTTAAAACTTTTCAGTTTAAACCTCTTCTCTTGACTTTTTGGTATAGTAAAGGAGAATTTAACTCTTATTTATCCTTCCTCCATCCTCTCCCCTGTTCATCCCATGTAGTCACCACTCATTCTTTAGTTAGCTCAATATACACCATCTTGATCATCTATAATTACATTTACATTCTTATACAATTTTCAAACCTGAAGTCATTGCACATTTATTTATTTAGGTTTCTGTATCTCTTACTAATTTCCCCAACATGTTATGTTTCCTGCTTCTCTGTAACCATTTTCCACAAATGACTTAAAACACCACCAATCAACAATCTTATAGTACTGAAGATCAAAGCCCGAAACACATCTGAAATCAAGGTATGTTCCTTTTAGAGAGCAACAGAACTGTGTTCTTCTAGACATCCTTCTTTTTCTTTGCCCCTTCCAGTTTCTACAGGATGCCCAAATTCCTTGGCTTAGACCTCTCTCTCCATCACTCTTCTATTTTCTCTAACTCTAATAATCGAATTACAGCCGCAAATCCCCCTTTCTATGTAAGGTTAGACAGCTACGGGAATCAGCACAAAGACATGTTTGGGATTGGAAGAGAGGAAAGGTGACATTATCCACAGGTGCTCCACAGGTCTGTCAACTGCCTGTCAATGACATCAGGAAATCTACCAGTTCTGAGCCTTGAGTCTTTTGGAAACTATAAGGCTGGAATTGGCTTTCTTCCTTCTTCAGAGGCCATGGTGTGCTGTGGTCAAGGTCCTAGTTACTGTGCCAAAATTACATTGGCTCCTGTGTCATCTCCCATTTTCTTATACTTCTGAAATGAAAATTCCTAATTCTGTGTTTTGTTTCGTTTTATGGTGGGCTTGAATACAGAGTCTTGTGCTTGCGAGGCAGATGCTCTACCATTTCAACCATATCTCTAGTCTTTTCTGCCTTAGTTATATTTTAGGTAGGGTAGAACCTTATATATTTTTGCCAGGCGGGCTGGATGATAATCCATATAGGAAGGTATCACAATCACCCACCACGCCTGGCTTTGCTGGTTGAAATACGGTCTCACTAACTTTTTGCCTGAGCTGACTATGAACCACAATGTTCCTGATCTCTTCCTCCTGAGTTGTTAGGCTTTACAGGCATGAGTTACTGCACCTGACTGTATTTTCAATTATAGAGGTCTGGAAAAGAGAGGCATTAAACAATTGTATTCAAGTCTCTCTACTTATCTGATAGCTGTTATTCTTGTGATTGGGAGGTGGGGTTGTCTATGCAGAGTTTCCTGTCTATAATTAAGGTTGGTGCCCTGGAATGAGAAGGTAGGAGATTCACTTGCACCATAGTTTGAGAAACAACTGATTTTTCACTGAGTTCTGTGCGGGAAATGCTGGAAATTTCACTTCTGGGAGAGTTCCTGTAGACTGATGGAGGAACAGAGCTTAGGAACCAAGGAGATATGTTGGTCCCTGGCTCTGCAAGTTGCTACCTCTATGACCTCATCTGTAAATTAGATAACAATAATTGAACATTAATTATGAACACAGATCACAGAAAGAACTTGATTATAGAAATTTTTAAATTCCTTTCGAGGCAAGTTCAACGGATACATTCTGTAGTGGAGACCTTATACCATTTCAAGTTCCACCAGCCTTTTTTTGGGTCTTCACACAGTTCTTTCCAGTTTAACTCTTAAGTATTTTTGCTTTGATTTTAAGTGATTTAACTCTGCTGTTGTGTGTATTACAGCAAGAACCTCAAGAACATCCTGAATTAACAGCTAAGACTGCCCCTAACCTGTGCCATGAACCCCAACCCTCTCATCTACTGCACCTGCTGGGACCCATGGAACATAGGGCCACGGAAGCTAATCAAGACCCCTCAGCCACCAAACAAGCACTCTTCAGGAAGATCCAAGTAAGGGTTATGTGGGATGGGTGAGGGGTAGGGGGCTTTTATCTCATTTGTAGTCTGTTTTGCCTCACAAGCAGTAAGCTTTGTGGCCAAATTCCAAGTGCTCCAGAAAGCCTAGCTTTGTGTGGCTTTCCCTAGTGCCTTTGGGCTGCTGCTGGACTTGTAAGCCCTGGCTAAGATCAGGGTTGTTTTAAATAAGGAAGTCTTAGCACTGGTGCTACAGAGGAAGTGCAGCTTCCAATCAGCTTTGGTACCATGTGGCACCAGAGAGCCTTGGGACCTAGGAACTGAGTTGTGCTGCCACCCCAGAACTACCTGGCACAAATGGACAAACCTCAGGCCTGAGGTTTTCAAGAGCTTCAGGATCTCAGTTGTTCCAATTTGGTGTGGTCCCTGTGGGAAAGAACTTAGCTGGAATACTGAAAGAGCTTGTACACTTTTCACTTCCAGGCTAATTCCTCTTGTATCAACTTTGAAAGAACACAATTTCATCCCATCCCAACCAACAGGAAAACCTCTTACCCCCAAGTAAGTATTTGTAAGTCTACCAGTTAGGAAGTGGTTTTAGGCATGTAAATGATAGATCTCTCCCTTGATCTTCATTGCCCCGCCTATTTGAACTAACGTGTTGCCATGGATATCAGCAAATTGCTAGAGTCCACAGTGATTTTCTTACAATCTCAGGCCCTACCTGTAGGTGGTGTGGTCCCCTCATTCACAGCTCCCTGTCTGCTCTGTCCTCAACAGCTGCTTCCTGCCCTACACATAAGGAATGCTTCATCATAGGTTCAACTGGCCAGGGCAATCCTCCCACCTACCAATGGCAACAAATCTGCCTTGCCAATTACTTTCCTACGGCTAAGATTTTCTCCAAATTCCATCTGTGTGTCAGCCACAAATTAAAGCTTTTTATTCCCATTTGACAAACTTAGAAGAATTACTTGGTTCTAGATCTGTGCTTGAATCTTGGGTTTTATTTATTTATGCTTAGAAAATACTTATTGAGCACCTAATATTTGTCAGGCCTTGGGGAAATGACGATGAACTGTTCACCTAAAGTTCCCTGGAGCTTACTTTCTGGCCAGGTGGGAGATGACTGTAAACAAATTAATGTACTCTGAGTTGGCATAGAAAAGAGTTCAGAATAGGGAATTATTTTCTGCAAGTCCCTGTATAAAGGGGACAGCCAGAGCCATGATGATGGCTGGGAGAAGGCCTCCTGGAATAGGAACAGTCCTTGTGCTGTGTGTGTGCACCTTCTTCCAGGAAGAGACCAGGAATGAAGGGAGCTTGGGGAGGGTGATGGGATATGAACCCGGAGAGGATAAGGAGCTGGTGAATGGCCCCCAGAGATGTCCACATACAAAGAGTTGGGTGCGCTGATGGAATTAAGGTTGTGAAACATGGAGCATGAAGTGGAGAATGATGAGCCTATGTTTTCCAAGTAGGTCCAATAAGTGTAATTATGAAAGTCCTTCAGATGTAAAAGAGGAAGTCCAAGCACCAGGCAAGTTGTGATAGAAGCAGCAGAGACCAAGAGATTCAAAGCTTTTTCATGGAGAAAAAGGCCAACAGCAGCTTCTAGAAGTTGAGAAAATCAATGAAAAAGACATGTCCCAAGAACTTTTAGAGAAACACAGCCTTGCCCATGCCTTTAATTAGCCCAGAAAGACCTATTTTGGACTTGAGCCTCACCAGGGCCCTGTGTCAATGGATCCTCAACTATCCCATGTACCCCCTAAGAAGTTCAAGTGACTGGGACTCAGCTGATGGTGGCATTAGGATGTATCCTCTACAGTTTGGACTTCTGATGCATTGATTGATTTCTTTTGCAGAGGGAAAGCTCATTTAGGAAGGCAAGGGGAGAGCAGTAAAATACCTACTGTGAGTAAAACAGGGAAAAAGGTATGGGACCATTTCTCAAGCATATATTATAGGAAATTGTGGTCTTTCAATACACCTCATAGAATCTCCATGACAATCCTAGGAGACTTTAGGTGCTGTCAGTAGTGCACCTTACGGGTTAGTAGATGAGTCATGATCGACCCCAAACCAGGAATTTCATTGCAGTCTTGACTGGCTTGTACAGGATGAACAGTTTGTCCCCAGGACACCAGGTGGTGATAGCTAGCCCAGGCCAAGCCCCGATGCAGGATACCTTCTGCCATAAATAGGAAGCCATGAATCCTGGGTCAGGGGCTGTCAATGAAAGCAAGGGCAAGAAGGTGCTAGGGAAGAGAATGGGGATCAAAGGCAAAAGGCTCTTGATACCTGCCCTGGAGCACAGAACTCATCCCTGTGTTCTTTGTGGTCATACCTTACAGGTCTGGCATGGGCAGTCAGCCAGCTAAGTTTTTTTTTTTCTGGTTATCTCAAGTTTTTTTGTGTGTGAGGTTTTTAAAAAGAGGTAGCTGAGTAAAAACCACACCACACATGTGGTATTCAGGTAAGGGGTAGGTTTATTCATCGTTCCAGTTGGCACCAGGCCATGTTGGCCCTCCACGCGGCTGGGAAAGACCTGGGAAAGAGAGCGTCTGGGCCTGGGCTAGGCCTTATCTAGGGTATGGGTGGAAAAAGGTGTGGCCACATCAAATTCAGATGTGACCTCAGCAGATGCAGATGTGACCTCTTCCAGGTGTGCCAATTGCCTAGGTAACACAGGTACTGGGTGGAGACTTTGCTGCGAGGAGGGTGGAGTCTGCTCGCCATCCAGGAGCGAACCTTACATTTTTATTGTAAAGATACTGTACAGAGGGGCATACATTTAGGAAAATGAACTACCTGGTGGGTTATTATGGTTACTTTTTTTTTTTACCGTGTCCTGATTTTATCTATTTTCCTTTTTCCTATAAACAAGAATCATGCATTTCTTTAATGGTTTGGGGAAAAACCAATGTAGATATATAATTTCCCTGTAGGAAAGAGTATAGAGAGTCAAACTGATAACTCTCAATGAGAGACCAAGTACAAGATGCTCCAAGGTCTTATAGCACATGAGGATGGGGGTGGAGAGGGAAGTGACATATGTCCCTCACAGCTGTGTTCCCCATAGTACCAGCTGCTATGATCTTATCCTGGTTCATGTCACATGGTGGGCTTGCCAGAATTCTGACTTGGCATCTAAATAGGGTAGGGAGAAGTAATGAATACATGGTAGTCATTTCTTACATGTTCTTGTGTGGTTTTTTTCCCTCCCACAAAAGCTCTTTAAGAAAAAATTAGTTTGCCCTTTTTTTTTTTTTTTTTTTGGTCATGGGGCTTGAAATCTGAGTCTGGGCGCAGTCCCTCAGCTCTTCAGCTCAAGGCTAGCACTCTACCACTTGAGCCACAGCGTCACTTCTAGTTTTCTGGTGGTTTATTTTATTTTTATATATGTTTCTTATTGTAAAAATACTGTACAGAGGGGTTACAGTTACATGAGTACATTTCCTATCAAGCATTGTTACCACCTCCTTTGTTTTTCTCCTACGATCCCTTCTCTCCCTATCTCCCCAACACCTCCCTCTCCCCACCCCCGAAGTTGAAAAGTTCATTTTCAACATTGTGTCTTGTATATCTCTCTGGTGGTTTATAAGAGTCTCACAGACTTTCCTGCCTGGGCTGGCTTTGATCCTCAGATCTCAGCCTCCTGAGGAGCTAGGATTACAGGCGTGAGCCATCAGAGCCCAGTTAATTTTCCCCATTTTATGATTAAGAAACTGAGTGACAAAGTTGAGTCAAAGATTCAAACTCAGGCTTACCCACTGCTGAAACTAATATCCATAGTGCCTAGCCACCCCCTGGCTCTGACCATAAGGGATGATGAAGAATGGGTACAGGCTATGATATCAAAGGTTCAGTGATGGAGGGTGATTGGAAGAGGGTGCAGATGGAACTTGAGCTGTGGAATCTCATGTCATGGCTCTATTTTTAAGATGTGAATAAGGCAATAGTAGAGGATCTAAAGGAATCCCCATACCCCAAGTCTGCAATTTTATTTTGCCTTCCACCTCGGTGCTCAGGAAGTAATCAACGTGTCACCTGGCTATCAACTGGTTCGGAATCGTGAGCAGATTTCAGTCACCTTGGGGGATGAGATGTTCAATAGGAAAAAACATTTGGATTCTGGCCCCTTGGATAAAGTCGCAGTTTCCAGGTAATATCTTTAGAACAACATAGATCTCCTCAGAGATCTTAGCCTGGTCCAGCTTCAAGGATAAGTCCCTGAAGTCCACGCTCAGGCCATGGGGTCCCTACTATGAAGACACCACCCAGATGAAAACAGTTAGTGTGATTTCATATTAAGAGAACAGTTTCTCCTGAGGTGAAAACCAGGTGAAATAGCCCTAACATAGTCTGGATTTGATTGGCAAATTGAGCAAAATCAGAGTCTCTGGGAGGCTGGACTGCACATCTCTTTTTTCATTATCTATAGTTCAAAACTCCCATTCTGGGAGATGCAGTGTAGAAAGTTCTGGCCCATTCTATCCAGTGAGTACACAATTGTCCTATCTGTCACTGAAGATCTTCCCACTTGTAGTTATCCAGTGCCATACTCAAGATATGGCCATGCCTTTCACTTCTACCTCCTATGCCTGCTGTCCCTCTCATATTCAGGCATCTTCTCACCTGTAATGCAGAAAGCTCCCTGTGTTCTTCCTTCAGACGTCAGTCTGATAGAACTATTTTGTTTTAAATTTTTTTATTATCATTAAGTAGTTTTACAAAGAGATTTCAACCCAACATACCAGTTTGTAGGTACAATGTGTCTTGATTATTAAGAACAGCAAGGAGCCAGGTGCCAGTGGCTCACGCCTGTAATCCTAGCTACTCAGGAGGCTGAGATCTGAGGATCACAGTTCAAAGCCATCCCGGGCAGTAAACTCTGTGAGACTCTTATCTCCAATAAACCACTAGAAAACCAAAAGTGGCACTGTGGCTCAAGTGATAGAGCACTTGCCTTCAGCTGAAGCGCTGAGGGACAGCGCCCAAGCCCAGAGTTCAAGCCCCACGACTGACCAAAAAAAAAAAAAAAAGAACAGGAATAACAACACACACACACACATACACACACACACACACACGCACACACGCACGCACACACGCACGCACACACAGTCACTTATATCTATTCATCAGTAGAAAAGACACAACTTAATAGTTAGCACTGGATACATCTGGGAAGAGATTCAGACTGTGAGAATAACTGTGCTGTGGGGTTGCCCTGATTTGAGCTGACCCAGAGAAGCTAGACCCAAGTCCCTGCCTTTGCATCTTGTGAGGGATTCCCTCTGCAGGAAGAGAACCCTACAGTGAACTCTTGGGTTTATATAGGAAAGGTGTCACCAATTGAGCATAATAAATAATAATAATAATAGTCCATGTTTGTTTGGTTACCTGATAAAGCTGTGACTTTTGCTTCTACTACTCAAAATACAATGGTCCCTTGTCATTCGAGTTTCTCATGCCCGGGCATCATCTCCCCCTGTATCTTTTCTTACCTCACATCCTCTCAGTGCCTAATTAGCTGTGGAGGATGATTGGCCAAAGGATCAAAGCTTTTTGAATTGAAACCCTCCTCTCAGCCTCTCCATAAAAATGATTACCCTATCTACTTCAGCTTAATTACAGCTGAACATTCTACAGATATCATGGTGGCCCCAGACCCAGAAACACCAAAAACCATTGTAAGTAATGAAGACCATTCTAGTTTTCCCTACTACTGCACATTAAAGACCAGGACCTTGAGCTACATATACCCTCATCCTTTTTGGTTTGTTTGTTTGCCATTAGGCCTCATGCATGATAGGTAGGCATTGTACTGCTGAACCATGCCTACAGTCTTTTTTGCTCTGGCTATTTTTGAGAGTATTGGGGTTTGCCATGGCTGAACTGGACTATTTATTCTTCCTAATTAGCTAGGTGTATCACAATGCTTCATTTTGGGATTTTGTTTTGTTTTTTGTGGGTTTTTTTTGATGAGAGGATTTCTTGAACTTCATTATCTGGGCATTTTGAAACTGCCATCTTCCTGATCTCAGCCTTCCATGGGGCTGGGCTGACATCTTGGATAGCTAAATAACCCAGCTATTTGCCAAGATGGGGGCTCACAAACTTTTTGCCCAGGCTAGCCTAGAACCTCAGCCTTTCCAAGTTCAACCTCCCAGGTGCCTAGGATTACAAACACGATACCAGCACTTGGCTCTATTTTGTTTTTGAGACAGGGTCTTACCATTACCTTTGCTCAGAATAGCCTCAAATTCACCATCTGTCTGCCTCTGCCTCTTGAGTAAATGGGATTACAGGCAAGAATCACCACAGTGGCCTGAAAGCCACTCCTTTAAATCTCCTCTGCGTCCCATCGCTGTCTCACTGTGTGATTCACAGCCAGCATCCATCTTATTCCTCCAGTTTCTCTTTTTTTAGTCCTCTCTCATTTGAACTATCACCAACTCAAACTCTAACCAATGTCTGATATATGTCTATTTCTCTTCACTCAATAGGGCACCAAACCACCCTGCTCACTTTTAGCTAGCTTAGCCAAAAGGCCAGATCTGAGGTTCGACCAGCCTTCTGTGAAATACTTTATCCAAGACCACCCCTCCATCCCACCATCCCCTCCCATGGTGGTGGAACAGGTACAGAACATGTCCTGGATCTCACCAGACCAGACTCCAGTCCTCCCAGACACCTGACTGGTGCAACAGTAAGTGTTGTGATGATAGAATTGCTTGTCCTACAGGATTGAAATCATTTCTGACCTTGAGGAGCAGATCTCAGAGCTGACTACAATCATAGAACAAATGAACAGAGACCACTTAGCTGCTCAGAAGTTGGTGAGTAATCCTTAAAATAGCCAATACCATTACAGAGAGGATAGGAATTATATTCTCAGACTACCTATGTGCCAGGCAATATGCCAATCATTTGACTTTGTTGAACCCTGCTGCCCAGGAGAGAGGACTCTAGAGATTGGACCATGTATGTAAGCAGTAGCATTTCTCTGAGTCCATTTCCATCCATAACTGCAAGAACTCAGGCCTGACTCATTCAGTATGGGAAGCATCCAGCTGCCTCTCAGGTGCAGAATGGCACAGTGCCTTCCACACTAGGAGATGCTTGTCACTGCCCATCTGGCCTTAGTCAGAAGATGAATTTCAGAAGTTGTGAGGCACTAACGACACCAACAGACCGGTGCCTCCAGTGCTGCTCAAAAGCTTCCCGTACGCTGTGCACAGGTGGCTCACCCCTATAATCCTAGCTACTTAAGAAACTGAGATGTGAGGATCAAGCCAAGGCAGAAAAATCTCTGAGACTCATCTCTACTTAACCAGCAAAAAGCCTGAAGTGGAGGTGTAGCTCAAGTGGTAGGGTGCCAGCCTTTAGTTTAAAAAAAAAAGAAGAAGCAGCTAAGGGAGGATGTGAAGCACTTGGTTCAAGCCACAATACCAGCACATACACACAGCAAAAGCTTCTGGAAGCCTCCTGTGTCCACCATCTGTTCCTAATAAAACTACATAGGTCATTGCTATGCTTTGTGCTTCTTGGGATACACAAGTGACCCTTGTCCACCTTTAATTATCAGTGTCATCAGTGGCCCTTTTTCCCTAGCTCAAGCAGGTGTCCCTGATGGTATGGGATGAGCTGCTAGCCCAGAGCTGTGCTCAGAAACTTCCTCCCTTGTGAAAACTTCCTCACTTGGGGCGGGAAGGGCGGGGAGAGCTCTACCTCCAGCAGGTGACCTCTTACCCCTGGATTGGTCAGAACCAACATTATGATTCAGGCCAAGATCTCCCGCCCTCACTGCTGATTCGCTGTCTTATTTCCTTCTGTAGAAGGAAGAGTGAAATTTGAGCTCCACAGAAAGATGTTAGGCAGAATGTCATCTGACTCGTGAGCATAGGCCAGTAGAAGGCAACTTGAGAGAATATGCTCATGGAGGGACCCAAAACTGAGATTTTCAAAATACTCTGCTTGTAAACAGCACCCCAATTTGTGTTGTGGCCCTATGGCTAGGAGTAGTCCTGGCTGGCAAGGTGCCAGTCAATGGCTGAACCTGAGCCTCATTGTGCCAGGCAACCTCTGCCTTACTAATAGGAGAGAGACAAGATCTATGCTGCGTGGCTTTGAGGTATCCATTCCTCTTGAAATTTTGGCCAGGGGATCTGCTATGTTAGGATGATAGTACCCGAGAGAGAGAAATTCTTGTCTGCTACAAACCAACCATGCAAACCAAACAGCTTTAACCTCCTAGAAGGCAGAATCCGATTGCTAGACATTTTTATCTTACTCTTTCAGCCAAGCTCTTTGCTCAATAAATGACTGTTCGGTTGAATTATGTACCTGAATCCAAAGGTCAGGATCTTACAATAAAATGGCAGTCTACTACTCAGGAGACTGAAATATGAGGATCAAGGTTCAAAGCCAGCCCAGGTAGAAAAGTCCATGAAACTCTTATCTCCAGTTAAGCACCAAAACAATTCTAGCAGTTAAGCTGTGGCTCAAGTGGTATGAGAAAAAAAAAAGAGAGAGAGTGGACAAAAAGGCTCAGGGTCAGCACTCAGGCCCTGATTTCAAGCCCCAGTCCCAGGACTGGTACAGAAAAAAAAAAAAGAGACCCTCTACAAACAGTACTGTACGAGGTACTTTCCATGTATCAACTTTATGAACTGATTGGGAACAGGCATTTTTCTGGTTCCTTAGTACTAACTGCAGAATATATCTAGGACAGGTATGGGCAGACACACTCCTGGGATTGGGGAGGCTTTGCAGAAGATGCAGATCCTATTCCCAGCCCTGGGTAGTCAATGCTGCTTTCATTTCCAGCTTTCCACTGAGATGGATCGCCGCTGTGCTGAGCTGAAGCAGCACTTTGAGAACATGAGCAGGTATGTTTTTTCACACAAGTCCTGGGAGCTGAAGGTGCTAAGGCTCCTTTGCAGGACCCTAGATCCTGGAACTTTACTTGAGGCTATATAGAGTCAGATCTTGTCAGGGGATGGGGCAGAGATAATTGGGGCAGTCTTTGGGGGACAGAATGGTTTGATTTGCAGTCACTAAAATGAAGTGACTCAGTGGCTTTGTACTTCTGCTTTTGTATTTTATCATCCAGCTTTTTCATTTCAATGACAATCTTGTTGGCTGCTGAGAAGAGCCATATTTTTCTCTAGGAGATTTTTATGATAAATGACTGTTTTCCTTACTTTCGCCAATCTCTACTTTCCATGAGAATACAATAGAAAGAAGAGATGGGAGGAGAAAAGTGATGGCAAGTCAAGAGGAAATGACATGGAGGCTTATTCAGTGTGGGTGAGGCAAATCTCAAAATCCTCTGCCAGACTGCTTGCTGCACCAGGAGGAGCCTGTGTCCTGCAGAGAGACAGCATTCTTGGTTGAGTCATCCACTGTGATTCGTTGATTGGATGACTGTTGCTTTAGAGCAATGTGGAAAAGCAAAGCTTGCCACTCCCATGTTTGTTGCAGCACTATGCGCACTAGCAAGCTGTGGAGCCAACCTAAGTTCCACTAACAGATGAATGGAAGAATAAAATGCCATCAGACTTGAAAGAGAAGGGATTCTGCCATTTGTGCCAATATGGATGGAAAGGGGAAAATATTCTGCTAAGTGAAATAAGCTGGCACAGAAAGACAAATTGCACGTTTTCACTTATATTTGGAATCTGAAGTAATTGAACTCATAGGAAACAGAGAGGGAAGGTGATAACAGAGGCTTGGGAGGCAAGGAGGAGAGGTGCTAGTCAAGAGTACAAAATCTCAGGCAGGAAAAGTACATTTTTAAAAAGATCTTTGCAGGGCATGATGACTAGCTAATAATAGAATGCTGTTTGTCTTAAAATTACTTGTGAGCACATTTCAAGTGCTCTCATCACACACTAAAAATACATTTAAGATTATGAATCTGTTAACTTGCTTGATTTTACTTATTTTGTACTATATTGCTAAAGCATAACATCATCTGGTGCCTCATGTTTGGTTGCAATTCTAAATTATCATTTACAATGATGATGAAGAGGGAGCACCCCTAGTTGCATCGTAGCATTTTATATAAACATTTATTTCTTTATTTAATCATTTATAGGCTTCATTTTTTAAAATAGCTTTGTCAGGAAAGTACAGTTTCCATATATTCCCTGTGTCCCACACTTACAGCTTTCTATACCCACCAACATCCCCACAGTGGTACATCTGTTACAACTGACACATCATCATCACCCACCACCCCTAGTTTATGGTTCACTCCTAGGATTAAACATTCAAGGTTTGGAAATGTCAGAAGAGTTTTAGAAGTCCTTTGTGTTCTGCCTATTTATCCATCCCCATCCCATCTCAAACCATCCACCCCCAACCCTGGCAACCCTTGATCTTTTATTATCTTCACATGGCATCTTCCAGAATTTCATGTACTTAGAAGCAGAATGGCTTTTTTTTTTTTTACTTAGTAATGTCTGAAGTTTCCTTCCCCCTCTCTTTATGGCTTGATGACTCATATAGATTTCTGTTCCAGTACTCAATGTCAACAGCTGCTTGCTTGGGTTGGGAAATAACCTAAGAGCTAATCTAGCTTACAGTTTCCCAAATGAGCTGTAAGCAAACACTGTGCTTTTAGATGATGAGTATGTGGACCCTGACAAGTCCATTAAACAAAAGTAGGTGTAAGAAACGAGGGTCCTCTTACCTCTCTCTGGATGGAAGTCCAGAAGCTAGAGGAATTGACGACCTCACTCACAGTAGGACAAAGGAGAGGGGAGGGCACGGCAGTGGGATGGCTCAGCCCTTTTCACTGATGACAGTGGTCTTCTGGCTTCTGCAGGGAGCTCACAAACTCTCATAAAGTGGAGCTCGGTAAACTAGAGAACAACTACAAAGAAGCCTTGAAGGCAGAGAAGTCAGCTGCTCAGGAGAAACTAGGTACTGTTGGGATCTGGGAGAATGACTCTGGGAGGAAGGGTGAGCGCTCAATGAGGTCTAGGGCTGAGGAGCTTGCATGGCTGTGGGTGGGTGGTGTCCAGGTGTCTGAGGCTTCCTGGCTGAAGCTAAAGGGGGAAAAGCAGCTAGGCATGAGACTGAAAAGAAGGACTGTGTCTACCACTGTCCTTCCTTTCCCTTGAAGATCTGAAGAAGTCCCTTAATCTTCTTAGTTCCCACTTGGGAACTAAGGACAAAAATATCTGCTATCAATGTCATGAGAATATCAGTACAGAGGGTGAGGGCCAGATGGATGGAGGGACAAAGAGTAGGCGAATCCAGTCATAACATCCAATGTACTTCTGGAAAAGAGAACTAACTTGAAGAAAGGGGTGGAGCCAGGATAGATGGCAGTTAGAATAATGGGAGGGGTGACTTTGACCAAGATACTCTTGTACTCATAAACTGACATATTGACGTGAAACCCTTTTGTACAATTACTTAAAGTTAATTTTAATTTTTTAAATAAAAATTTAAAAGAATGTGAATACACTTTTAAAGTGTATGAAATGTTCTACAAATATAATACTACCAAGATTCAGCAAATTTCTTCCCTCATAAAAGGATAGTGTTTTATTAAATTCTCACTGACACACTGTATGGCCTTCAATGGATTATTTATATCTGCCATGAAATCTTATTGCTTATCGTGCCTTTGGGAAGATCAGAGTGTGTGCCCTTCAGAATTGTGAGTTTATAGACTAATCTCCAAAAAGAAATTCTGCAGCCTTCTTCCTTTATTTTAATTTTTGAACAATAGATATACTTTGCTAATATTCTACTTTCCTAAAAGCATGTATTGTTCTCCTAATCATTGTAAACTAGGAAATATTTATGTAAGAAACAGATGTAGATGTACACTGTAAGGTTTTGTTCCTCTTTTCCCCACAGATGTATATTACCTTTGGGGCTTTTGTTAAACTGTAGTTGAACAGACTTAAGTATGCATCAAAATCCCCTAGAAGCATTTTTGTTAATACATACCAGGTTCCTCTGCTAACTAATTTGGTAGGTTTAAAGTGGAGTTCAACATTTGAGGTTTAAATAAGTTTACAGGGTGATTTCTAGGGCTTCAAAAAGTTTCACCATCTAAATAAGAGTTTGGGGTAGGAGGATGTACAGGACAGCCCACGTTTAGATTTGAAAATGTGCATGTCAGAGGAGTAACATGACCTTGTTATTTTGTTGTTGTCTAGAGGAGATGGAAAAGGAATATAAGTATTTGAAGAACATGTTTCATATTTATCAGGTGAGCTTCAGAGGGACTTTGGTGGGCTATAAGAGTGAGTGAAAAAAAAAAAAGAATTCTTTGTCGGGCGCTGGTGGCTCACGCCTGTAATCCTAGCTACTCAGGAGGCTGAGATCTGAGGATCGCAGTTCAAAGCCAGCCCGGGCAGGAAAGACTGTGAGACTCCTATCTCCAATAAACCACTAGAAAACCGGAAGTGGCGCTGTAGCTCAAGTGGTAGAGCGCTCACCTTGAGCTGAAGAGCTGAGGGACAGCGCCCAGGCCCAAAGTTCAAGCCCCACAACCGACCAAAAAAAAAAAAAAAAAGAGTGAGTGAAGCAGGTCTCATTCCTGACTGGTAACACCACAATGAACCAGAAAATAATGTCTTTCAGCATCCCAGCACCTAAGTGGCTCTGACTATGCAGAGAGAAGCAGGAGCCCAGTGCCTTCCAAGCGTGACAATTCAGTCATCTAAGCCCCAGAGAAGCCTATTGAGAAATAGGTTTCTGGTGACAAAACTAATAGCTGTTTGTTGTTCTTAAAAAAAAAACTTTTAAAAAAAGAAATAACCAACAATAACAACAACAAAGTTTCACCAACCAAAAGCAATCTCTGATTTGTACTTCATTAAGACTAGTGTTGAGACAGTAGTTTTGTTGGTTTTTTTTTGTTTTTTGTTTTTTTTTTGCTTATGTGGTGCTGAGGAATCAAACCCAGGGCCTCAGGCATGCAAGGCAAGCGCTCTACCACTGAGCCACCTTCCCAGCCCCGAGACAGTAGTTTTTTATACCTCCTTTTCATTAAGCATATCAGAATCCCTTATCTCCTTTTGTAATGTCTAGCTATTATCTTAATATAAGTGTCCCTGGGCATATGATTATTCATGTACAGTTGGCCATTTGAATTGTTTTCAATGGCTTGATACAACAGCAACAAAAAAACACTACTTCAAGCCTGTTGGTTACAGTCCTTAACAATGGCTCTGGTGGCCTGGGACTTGGCAGATTTGAGCACTGAAAGCCCACACCAGCTATGGCTAGTCACAATGTTATGTTTTGCAGAGAGCACCCATTTTCTTCTCAGCAACCGTAACTTCCTTTTGTGGCTGAGATTAAATACACCTGTCAATGCCATGCCTGTTGACTGGCTCGGACTTTAAGAGAATGGAACCAAGGAGGAGAGGCCCAGGACCTTGATGCTGCTGAGGCATGGGATGGGGAGGGGAGGGGGGGAGATGGGGGAGAGATGTGGGCATCCCATGACAATAAAGTCCTTCCCTTCTGGGTTATAGCAGAGGATTCAGACCAGCTGAGTATCGGTGTGCAGCTGGAGCTGTTTGTGGCCATCTGGATGAGGGTCTTTCTTACAATTTGTACAATTAGAGGCCAAAATGAAAGAGTGTACAAAGTCTAACCAAGAAATTGGGCCAGTGAGTTCCAGGCCAGACTGGACTATAGAGCAAGAACATGTGTCAACAGACAACAAAAACTCCCAGTATTTTCTAAATGTTCAATTTAACTCCAGACATTTCCCATTGTTCTGCATGTCCTACTGAATGGGGAGCTCTATGACTCAGGAGTGGCTGACCTGTGAGATGGAGAGGCGAAGCCTAGCTTCAGAGGGGGCCAGGCTCCATCTCTGCAAATGTTGTGCATACTTCTCCCAGCTCTCTGCAGGTTTAGGTTGGGGTTTTCTTCTCATGTACCATCCATGAAGGGACGCTCAGAGAGGGCCAGGCGAAGAGGAACAGCACAGGATATCCTGCTATGCTAGCAAGGGTCTCCAGCTATGGATTTACAGCCTCTACAGGTCTCCTACTTTAGAACGCTCTTCTTCATGGTACCTTTATGCCTTCAGGATAGCATTTATGATGAAATGGAAGATAGGTGGTCCAAGCGGAAGGCAGAATGGGAGAAGGATGAGAAGTTAGAACGAGAAAAGATTCTACTACAGCAAAGTGAGTGTTACAGAAACTTCTGGATTTTTTTTCTTCCAAGGGTATCAAAACAGCTGCTGTTAAACTTAGTCTTGACTTTAAGGAGGTGGACTTCGATTTACCAAGGGTATGGATCAAAACAGCTGCTGTTAAACTTTAAGGAGGTGGACTTTGATTTACCAAGGGGGTGGGAGCTACATGCTAAACTCTTAAATGGAGAGATGGAAAGGTGCCTAAAAGAGACTCCTGAACTAAGGGGTCTATGCCTGCACCTTCAAAAACACTGATTTCCATGTTTGACCATCATGGTCAGGAAGTATTGGGACCTCTAAAGGAAAAGTAACTTGATACCTAAATACAGGTGACCCAATGTTCCAGTAGTTTCTGAATTCGAATATGAAATATTCACTTGTGTAGATGGGGAGACAGCAGTGTTGATTACACTGAGAACCTCTTACCATCCCCCCCCAACCAGGTTCCCCAAGGGAGCCATGTTTGATAATTATTTTTAATACTTCCAACATTCGTAATCCAGAACTCTATAGGTATACCACCCACCATTCAGTGAGCTTTTACATGAATGGCAAAATGGAGGAAGGAATTTATGGGACTGTTTCCAGACCTAAGCTGAGGTCCCTTATACATTTAGTTGGTTAAAACCAAATTACTGGCTTACATGCAGAATGTCTCTGAGAAAGTCATCTCACATGCTAGTGGGGACTCTGGCCCCTGCAGGACAGCATGAAAACCCTGGAGTTGAAGCTGGGAATGGGACAAAAGCCTCCTCTCTGTGGTTTTGTCTAGTACTCCACTCACCTAGAAGCCCAGACACCAGAACCCAGGTCATCTTTCAACCTTCTAGCTATTCATGCAGTACCCCCTATGTCACAAGAGTCTAGGCCTTCATGTAACCACCATTTGTGAAACATCACAAGTTAGCTGCTTATTATGCAGCTCCTTCTAGAGTAACCCTGTGAGCCCTAAGGCTCCCTACTCATCCTCCCAAACTCTGACACCGAATTGTTTGTCCTTGCCTTTTTCTTATTGTTTGGTATTGGAGTTCTGCAGACAGGTTGCTCTACCCATGGGAACAGTATAAATCTACTTCTGCCCCAAGGCTAAGCACAGAATGGATGGGTCAGGCCCATCAAGAGCTTTCTTTAAAGATTAAACTATCTAAGAAAACACTGGTTACTTCAGCAGGAGAATGAACATAATAATAAGCAGCAGATTTTGTATAAAGAACCAGAGATGTTGAAAGTCACAGCTAATATGACTGAGGACAAGCCCCATGCTCACTCACCCTTAAACAACCCAGGTAGCCTCAGAGCCTGAACTCTACGATGAAAAGGCTCCAAGTTTGACTCAGTCTGGAAATACTTTTATCTTCAGATATTTTTTCTGCACTTGCTTTTTCCACATTCATATATAGGTGTGGTTTTTTTCTTCCGTCCACAGAACATAGGATGGCAAAAAGGTTTGAGTTAGAGTCAGAAGAAGAAAAGAAGAAAATAAACAAGTCTTACAGTGATATCTTTGAGAACTTCGTTCGAGAAAAGGAGGTAACTCAACCAAACTCATCAATGATTCAATATGTAGTTCAGGCAGCAGAGCTGAGTTTCCAGACTGGCTCTCATAATTGGCTGATCTTTTTTTGTCTTAATGGACATTCTCCTCTTTGCCCAGATTTCCTGGAAATACATGCAAATAGAACAGTAGTCTTGCTGGCCTTTATAGCTAGATAGTTTTACTAAGGATAACAAATGAGGATGAAAATTGTACTTAACAGGAAATAACAGAATGCTAACCATGTGAAAACTCAAGTTCCTTGCTTTTCTAAAATCACATCTCTGATTCCTTCTCATCCAATTCTGAAGCTGAAGAGACACGTATTGGTACAAACTAAATCAAGCAAAGTTGGTCTTGCACAGCATTTAGTGAATGAGAGTAGTTACCTCAAAATAGGTGAGTGTTAAACAATTGCTAACCAATCCGCCATTACTGAGACTCATGAAGAGAGGAAGAGGTGAGGGGTTGAATGCGGTCATAATATTTGATGCATACCTATGAAACTAGGAAAATTTAGGGGAGAGGTTGGGTGAATAGGGAAGAATGACAAAAGAGGTGACACTGATCAAGATGCATTATATTTATAAACTCATTTGTTGAGTGGTAACCCCTTCGTTAAACTCCTTAAAGATAATAAAAATGTAATTTTTTAAAAAAGAATGTAGGAATTCTACAAAAACACACAGACATTTATTAAGTAAATATGAATTAGCAAGTAGAATTCAAACACTTTACACCCCCAGATAGATCTCTGGCTTTGGGGTACACCAAAGATTTGCTTTACCAACAGTAGGTGTGTGGCATTACAGAGGCCACTGTGGTCTGTAGCAGGCAACCAGACCCCCTAAGCAGAGCAGAGAACCATCCTGGGAGCAATTGTTAGGTGCCATCCCTAAGTGCGCATGCTAGACTCTGTTAGATATATTTGTTCCCTTCTTGTAGAAAATATACTTTTTACAATACTTTGGCTTTACAATATTTTAAATATTTTATTATCTATCCATTTCTAGTAATGGTAAAATAAAAAAAAAACCACTGGTTTTACCAATAGCCCATTTCTTGTATTAGTATGCTTACTGAGCAAAAGGATGCGAGTTGGGTCATGCTCTGTTGTGCATGGAGTGCTTCTTGGTCTGTAGGCCTCATTCTCTTAATAAAAAATGGTAGTTCATCTGTATATTGTGGGGGAGGGTTGGATCTGCTTGCAAAGTCTCCTTCCTCCTTCCCGTTGCTTCTCCAGTATCACTGACTGTAAATGGGGTAAATGGGGTTCTCTCTCTCTCTCTCACTCTCTCTCTCTCACTCATACACACACACACACACACACACACACACACACACACACATTACACATTGAGGTATAATTTTTACTTAGCAAGATGCTCAAACCTAAACTTGCCTTGACGAATGTATATACCCATGTAGCCAACTCAAGATCTAGACCATTTCATAAAGCCAGAAAGAAGTCTTGTGCTCTTCTCTCCAAAACCTGCCCCCAGACAACCACTTGTAACTTGTAGAATTCTAGGCCAACTCCAGCAATTTCACATGTCAGGTCCAACCACTCACTCCAGTACACTAATAAACATGCTTCTACTAGCATTTTGTTGACATATGCTTTTCTTTCTCTTGGATATATGCCTAGTGGTACCATGACTGGGAGCTAGAACAAGTGTAGATTTAATTGATAACAAATTGTTATTTTCCACAGTACTCACATAATTTTATTCTTGAATCTTAAGTATGAGAATCCTGGTTGCCTCACATTTTTCACAACAATTAATATTTCCAGTCTTGTGGTCAATGCAATCATCTTGATTTTAATTTCCCTGATGACTAATTATGCTGGACAGTTTTCCATGTATTATTGGACCATTGGTCTATCGTCTGTTGTAATATGTTTGTTGAAGTCTTTTGCTATTTGAGAAATACTAGGCCTATCTTTTTTTTTTTTTTGGTCAGTCATGGGGCCTGAACTCTGGGCCTAGGCGCTGTCCCTCAGCTCTTCAGCTCAAGGCTAGTGCTCTACCACTTGAGCCACAGTGCCACTTCCAGCTTTTTCTGCCTATGTAGTGCTGAGTAATCAAACCCAGGGACTCATGCATGCAAGGCAAGCGCTCTACCACTGAGCCACCTTCCCAACCCCATAGGCCTACCTTTGTATTGTTGCATTTCAGTGCTCTATACATAGAGTACATAAATTTCTTCTCAGCTACTCCCCACTTGCAGCTTTTTTCTTTTGTTAAGCCTTTTCATTTTGGTAAGGGTGTCTTTTAATGACCAACAGTTTTTCATTTTGGTAAATGGCAAATTATCAGTCTTTTCTTTGTGTGTTTAAAAGCTTTTTGTGTCTTCTCTACAAAATCTTTGCCTATTAAAAAGCCATGAAGATACTTTAGTTTTAGGAATCTTTCAATCTTAGTACTTATAATTCAGTGATATATTTTTTCCCATATGAATAGCCAGTTCTTTTAGTACCATTGTGCGTGTGCCAGTACTGGGGCTTGAACTCAAAGCTATTCCTTAGCTTTTTCACTTAACGCTGGCACTCTGCCCCTAGAGTTACCTCTCCACTTCCAGCTGTTTGAGGATTAGTTCAAGATAACAATCTCATGGGTTTTTCTACCCAGATTGGTTTCAGATCTCAGCCTATTCTCAGTAGCTAGGGTTATAGATGTGAGCCACCAAAACCTGGCTTTTGAGCACCACTTTTTGGGGAGAAAAAAGTCTATCCCCATTGAACTGTCTTAACATCTTTGTGAGCAAAAGATCAGGCTCTCCATTCTGTTCTACCTGAGTGTTATCTATACACGAGACAATAACACATTGTCTTAGATATGTAGTTTTAAAACCAGGTATTAAAGATCATCTAACTGGGGCTGGGAAGGTGGCTCAGTGGTAGAGTGCTTGCCTTACATGCATGAGGCCCTGGGTTCGATTCCTCAGCACCACATAAGCAAAAAGAAAAAAGCCAGAAGTGGCGCTGTGTCTCAAGTGATAGAGTGCTAGCCTTGAGCTGAAGAGCTGAGGGACAGCGCCCAGGCCCAGAGTTCAGGCCCCACGACTGGGCCCCCCCCCAAAAAAAGATCATCTAACTTTACTATTATTTTTCAAGATTATTTAGGCCTTGGTACATCTTTTGCATTTCTATGTATATTTTAGGGCTACATTGTCAAGCCAGATGTGTTACCCATATGTAATCCCAGCACTTGGGAGACTGAGACAAGAGAATTAAAAATTCAAGACTGATCTGTGTTACATAGTGATACCAAAGAAATGAAGAAGAGAGAAAAAAAAAGAAAGAGAGGAGAGGAGGGAGGGAAGAAAAGGAAAGAAAGGAGAAAGAAAAAGCTACTTTGTCAATTGAATTAGCTAGATAAAAAAAACACTTTTGATTGGGATTGTAGTGAAAATAAAGGTCAGTCTTTTTAGAATTGAAGTCTTTCTTTTTACTTTTTTGTGGTGCTGGGGTTGAACCCATGGCCATGAGCATGCTAAGCAAGTGCTCTACCACTGAGCTATTTTTCCATCCTCAGAACTGTATCCTTAAGAATGCTGAATCTGTATACTGACTTAAGGAAAGCTTCTTAAGGAAGTTTAATTTCTCTTTTTTGAAGGGAGGGGAGTTCCAGTTGTGAGGCCTGAACTCTGGGCCTAGGCGTTGTCCCTCAGCTCTTCAGCTCAAGGCTAGCGCTCTACCACTTGAGCCACAGCGCCACTTCTGGCTATTTTTTTCTACTTATGTGGTGCTGGGGAATCGAACCCAGGGCCTCAGGCATGCAAGGCAAGTGCTCTACCACTGAGCCACCTTCCCAGCCCCCCACTTCATTACTTTTTGACTGGTCATTTGCCAACTGGTCTCTGTGGGTTATACACATCTAATGCACCTGTGAGGATTTTTCACCCAAAGGATATATGTGGATGCCATTAATCTGCTAAATAGATCATACGTGTGCCTTTCAAAATAAATTACATGATGCTGACACTGTTTTGGCATTATATAAGTTGACTTCAAATTTAACAAATTGGATTTAATTGTTATCTGTTCCCTTTCACTTTTTGTTTTTGCTAGTCCTGGGGTTCAAACTCAGGGCCTGAGGACTGCTCCTAAGCTTTTTTGCTCAAGCCTGACACTCTACCATTTGGCCACAGCACTACTTCTGTTTTTTTTTTTCTTTTTATGTGGTATGGAGGAATTGAACGCAGGGCTTCATGCTTGCTAGGCAAGCATTCTACCACTAAGCCACATTCTAAGCCCCATCTGATCCCTTTTAAGTAGAGCTACACTGTTGTAGCTGACTTCTGTACATTGACTTCTGTATTGGGGGGCTACAATGCAGCAAATTGATCTGTCTTGATTCCTATGGTAACTAAAGTTTTGCTATAGTGGACTTGTGCATATAACACATATGCTATAGTGTAGTATATTTCAGTCAGTGTTAGATGATGCTACGTAGTAGTTGCATTTCAAGAAGGTTAATATTTTCAATAGGAAGTAATATGTGAAATTTTAGCACATTAAAATCATATTTATAATGTAATAAATACTTGGCCAAATTGGCCTTATTAAATATATGATTTAGAACCACTGTGTAATATGTATCATTTTCTCTAAATGCTAAAATTAAAAAAAACACCTTTGTATTGTTTAGGAAAATATCATTACTGCTACTACTGTCAGAAAGAATGAAAGAATGCAGACTAGAAAATATCAGTTTTGTTTAGTGAATCTAGTGAACTACTTGTGGGAGCTAGGTGTACTGTTTTCTGTGTTTTATTTTGCTTAATTTAGAGAGAATTGAGTATATATCATTCAGGCTAGAAGAGATGTAACTTTGGTATTTAATGAAGGACCTATACATATTCTCTGCAATATACAGGCATGAGCCACTGGCACCTGGCTTAAGGGGTCTTTTTGAAATAATTGGAAAACACAGAACACACATAAAGCTACATGGTGATATTGCTTAAAATTAGCTTATATGTATATTTTGTGTCTTTTCTGTTCCAATTTAACTCTTTCCTTACTTTATTGCAAAAAAGTACTTGCATGTAAAAAAAAGAAAGTATAATTTCTTTTTGTATTTGTCAACATATAAGGCTAAATACAATATTTTCATTATTGAATTTCAAAATGTCATAATTCAATAATATGTGTGTCATTATACTCATGTCCTTGGTGAATATTATGTTCCTGAGTCCTCTACTGGCTTTCTTAATTCTCTCTCTCTTTTTTCTTTTGTCAGTTGTGAGGCTTGAATTCTGGGCCTGGGCGCTGTCCCTCAGCTCTTCAGCTCAAGGCCAGCGCTCTACCACTTGAGCCACAACACCACTTTTGGTTTTCTGGTGGTTTATTAGAGATAAAGTCTCGTGTACTTTTCTGCCTGGGCTGGCTTTGAACTGTGATCCTCGGATCTCAACCTCCTGAGTAGCTAGAATTACAGGCATGAACCATCAATGCCTGGCTGGCTTTCTTAATTCTTTGAGAGAAGTTCTAGAACTTACCTTTTCCAAATGAAATTGTTTTTAGGAGCTCATGAAGCAGCATGAAAGGGACACCTTGGAATTACAAGAGCTGAAAAAGACCAACGAGGTAAATTTTTCCATTCTTTTCTATAGCATTGGTATCTTACAAACACATCAGAAAAAGTGTAGTCTGTGATAGTTTTTCCAAACCAATAAAAGTGGATTATCTAACCTTGGGAATGGTGGCTCACACCTATAATCCTAACTACCTAGGAGGTTGAGATCTGAGGATCACCATTCAAAGCCAGCCAGGCAAGGAAATTCATGAGATTTTTATCTCCAATTAATTACCAAAAAGCTAGAAATGACACTGTGGCTCAAATTGATAAAGTGCTAGTCTTAAGCAAAAACCTCAGGGACAGTGTCCAGGCCCTGAGTTCAAGCCACGGGGGACACACACACACACACACACACACACACACACACACAGGACTATCTAAAGCTAAGTTCGCTGAATTCAATCAGGCATAAATTATTCTGGAACTTTCTGTAAAACAAGAACAATGGTGCCTTTTTTAGGAATATGTAACAATGCCAGCAATGTTCTGTCAGTGTTGAACAACTTCCATTTCTAGTAAGGCTTAAACCACAGAAGGACCTTGAATTATAAAATGTCATATATATCCATAAGATTCCTGAAACTTCTAAACCTCCTCAGGAAATGCTTTCTCCAACCTTCTCCTTGAAACTCTGGGGTCACTACACACATATTATTTAGCTTTGACAAGACAGCCTCTTGTACTGGGACACACTGGGGCGCTTCCTAGAGCATCTGAGAAGCTGTTCAGACCCACCAAATGCCCTGTGGTTCCTTCTTCACTGAGAATTTAATTTGAATCCAGAATGAGGAAAAGATTCATCATTATACAGACATTATAAAGGAATGATCCCTTGGAGACCAGGTGGGGGTCAGTATTACTGAGTGCAAACACACATTGTAAGGAGATAGCTTCAGAGTCAGGTAGACCTAGCATATTGTAGTAACTGTGCTAATGAGTTTCTCCACTCTGTCTGTCCTTTGTGTCATTTCTGAGTCATTGTTATTCACTGATTTGTCTCAGTTGGGACCATATTGTTTTATTTGCATGTTTGGTTGAACTGGACTGCGTGAAAAGTTATGAGGCCCCTCAGAAGAGGATCCCCCAGTACTGCCTTCCAGACAGACTATACTTCCTGTCCCAAGCCCCTACGCAAACTCAATTCTAAGTGTCCTATAGCATGTGAGTCTGGGACAGACTATTGGAACGAGGATTCTCAACTACTGGCCCCAAGCCACCTTTGTTGTTCTTTTTTGCTGCTCCTTACATAACATAATCTTCTCATTATATTACCAACTTTGCTCATGTTTTTCTCTTAGGTTGAAATTCCATTTTTACCCTCTCTATGCATTTTGAGATTCAGAAATACCTGAAATACCAACTCAAAATGCAATTGCATATACAGACCTACCTCAGCAGGACAAATGGATCTTTCCTCTGAAGAAATCGTATTGTGCTTATGGATATAGCTCTTTCTCTCCATTTATTATCTGACTAGTAACTCATAACCAGCATCTGTAGCTATTATCTGTGAAGTGCTGAAGGAACCGAAAAATCATCTAGACACTGTCTCAGATGTCAGTCAGTCCCATTGACCTTCTCAATGTAATCAGACCTCCAGAGCTTCCCACACTCAGTGTCCATCCTCTCTGACGTATGAACTGGAGAAGTACCATCACAGGCTGCAATTGCCTTGTGCAAAGTACTTTGCAAGGTTATTTAGCATCCTTTTGCTTATTCATTCCAACGATTAATTACTTCTTGCTGAAGCCCTGTGATGTGCCAGGCACTCTTCTAAGATAGGGAATTAGCAGTAAAGAAAACTGGCAAAAGCCTGCCTTCCTTGAATGCATCTGCTTAGATCATCATAAATCTGTATAGACAGTAAAACAGGGAAAGAAAACATAGGGAAGGAAGCTAAGTGTTTAATAGACTTTTTCCCACTCCCCATCCAGTCAATCAACCAACTCCCTAAAATGTATCCCAGTTCATCCACTCCTCTCCAGGTCTGCTCCCTGCTTTCCTTAGTCCAGTGATCTTTACCTGCACCACAGCAGCATTCTCATCCTTGTTCCCCTTCTCCTCTCCTTCCACCCAAAATACATGATGCACAGAACAGTGAGATAAATGCAAGCAGTGAGGGCCATGCAAAGTGAAAACCTCTGGATGGTTTCCCATATTGTCAGATTGCCACATCTTCCCAGGGATAAACTGGCCCCTCTGCGACCCCTTGCCTGGGCCCACTCTCCTGTTGCTTTCTAAGGACTTGTACACAGGCTCTGTTCATTCTTCAGTAGTCTTCTGTTTAACTGGTAGGCCTGTAGAGCAGTTATAGTTTTATAGGAAAATTAGAGTAAAAAGTACAAAGAATTCACTTTATTCCTCCATCTCAGTCACCATAATTTCTCCCTATTAATAACATGTTAAGGTGATAGACTAATTACAATTGACCAGCAGTACTGATACATTATTAATTGAAGTCCATAGTTTATCCAAGGGTTCGCTCTTGGTGCTATACATTTTGTGAGTTTTGCCTAATATATCATGTCATATGTCCATCAGCTAGTCTGTCAGCAGAATCGTCTCACTTGTCTAAGGATGCCCTCTGACCCACCAGTTTGTCCCTCCTTTCCACTCCCAACTTTTGAAGCCATTAATCATGTTAGATTCTAGAGCATCACAAAGTAGGAATCTGTCAATTGTGTTTAACAGAGACTGGTGACTAGATGGTTGTTGGCCCCTGGAATCCTCCAGTGAGCTCTGGTGAGGGCAAGCCTTACAGCAGCAACAGTGAGGATGAAGGTCAGGGTGCAGAAGAAGGAGACAGAGAGAGGGTGGAATTCCTGGGTTGGCTGTGAGTGGTGGAAGAGAACAAGTATCTGAAGTTGGTGTTTTGCACTCTAGTCCAAGTGCCTTGAGCAGAGAATAAATAGGGAGCTATTGGCATGCTATCCTGGAATAATTTCTTCTTGTACAGACCATAGAGGAAGAGTTGCATGCACAAGCTCTTGTTTTGGAATCACTTAACACAAGCCTTTACCAAACCCAGATGGAACTCCAGAAAGAGGTGAGTCCTGGCTAGATGGTGGCTAGGGAGGAATCCAAGTCTTTGTGCTGTTTTCCCTATAGCACGGCCCCCAAAAGGCTCTGAGGATGACAACTATTAAAATGTATCTCTTTCAGAAAGCTACAGTGGGAAATATGGAGAAAATACTCCTGACTAAGCTTGCTGACGCTGAAGAAAAGTATAAGTACACAATACAGAACTTGATTGAAGAAAATACTAAATTAAGGTATGTCTATTGCTACCCTACCCTTGGGAGCAGTGGGGGAGGGCACTTGAAAAGGGAATAAAGTTAAGAAAGTAAGCCAAAGCTGGGTACTGGTGGCTCACACCTGTAATCCTAGCTACTCACGAATCTGAGATCTGAAGATGGTGGTTTGAAGCTAGCTTGGGCATGAAAGTCCATGAGTCTCTTTATCTCCAATTAATTACCAAAAAAGCAGAAGTGGAGCTGTGCCTCAAGTGATAGAACACTAGCCTTGAGCAAAAAAGCTCAGGGACCCTGATCCCTGAGTTGAAACCCCAGGACTGGCAAAAAAAAAAGAAAAAAGAAAGAAAAAGAAAATAGAAGGGAAGAGATGGGAAGGGAAGGAAAGGAAAGAGAGATAAAGAGGCATGGAAGGAGAGAAAGATGGGAGGAAGGGAAGGAGGGAAGGAGGGAAGGGAAGAGGAGGAAGGAAAGAAGGGAGGGAGGGAGGGAGGGAAGGAAGGAAGGAGGGAAGGAAGGAAAGAGGGAAGGAGGGAGGGAGGGA